TAACTTACAAGCTGTTTTTTAATAGTGATTTACAGAACACAAGGCAAGCATGTGAGAGAAGTTTTGTCTTGACTTACGTGAAACATGCTTATAGGGGATTTCCACTGCTCTGCCAAACAAGGCCAAGGTGAATTCAGATCTTATATTTAGAATCAAATTAAATATTAAACTAACTCTTATGTTAAGCATCAAATGTAGTATTAAAATTGTGAGAGATTTAATGAAAATGAAAATCCGTAAGTGGACTTTTTTATATTTTTATATTGACGATTTATTAATAACATATTTACAACTAGCTCTTAGAAATTTACAAATGGAATATATTACAATCTCAACTTTTTTTTCAGATCTAAAAAGAGAGAATTGCCGTAAATTTTTAGTGAGAAAAATGATAATAAAACAATCCTGTACTAATAATTTTTATAATAAAAACTAATAACTTCTCATCCACATAACTGCTATGCAGGACATGGGATTTGCGGCTTGCTTAGACCATAGTTATAATTGATTTATTTTAAAATTGATAGCCTTGTCACACGCATAATGGCAATCGCATGTATGGGATTCAATTTTATAGTAAAATTACATAAATGTCCTTAATTTAAAAAAAGTGAAATGATGACAACAATTTAATAAATAATAACTTTATTTTTCTAGTAAAAGGTAACAACTTTAATATATCAAAGGATAATAACAATTAAGATAATGACAACTAATTTTACCACTTAAAAAAATTAATTCCAGAATAATGAATAACTTCATGGAAATTAAGTAATTAGGACAATTTCAAAAAGGTACCACTTAAATTTTGAAATTCTAAACTAAAAATTTATATAAAAATGTGTTGTCATTTGTTTGCTTTTCTAGTATAATCAATTGTTATTAAAACGTGGGAAGCAAGACTGATTTGATATTTAAAATTCAAGTAGTAATTTTTTTGGGTATTTCCTAAATAATTTTTGAGTAGGATTTCATATTTGTTTTCATATTCATATACTCCTCCGGTCCTTAATATAGGACCCAATTCTTGAGTTGGTTTTGGTCCTAAATATAAGACCCATTTCTCATATTTATCAACTTTCTCTAAATTACCCTTGTGAATACTCCCTCAACCATAATCAAGTAAAAGAGGGAGAGAAGGTATTAAGAAAGATGATTATGGTGTTTTAGGAAAAATGTGTCACTTTTCTTATAATTAACTAACTTACCTAACTTCCTTAATCTAATCAAATTAGTTAAATGGGTCTTATATTAAGGACCGGAAGAGTATATATATATATATAGAGAGAGAGAGGGGGGGAGGGGGGGTGTGCATGCATGGAAACATAATGGACTGCTCTCCGGACCTTGTTACCTGGAATGTTTGCCCCTAAAAGCAACCCCGTCGCTATCCTCCTTCCCCAAACCCAATCATTCTTTCTCTCTTAAATTAATTTATCAATTATTTAATAACTACCCTATCAAATTATACCAACACAAACCAACAAACTAATCTCATATGCTACAATAATAGCGTTAATACTTTGCACTATATCATTATATACAACATGATAAAATGTCACATAATAAGATTACATTAAAGCATATTTTTATTAAAAAAATCCCCATTTTAAGAGATGATTTGTTTGTGAGAGATAATGACACAAGTGGGACACATCAAATAGATACTACTTGTGTCTTTATTTCTTTTCTGCTGGAAAACAAAATCATGAAATTGTATAGATTCTATTAATCTTCTTTTATTTTATTTTTATTCCTCTCTCTCTATATATATGTGTTTTAATTGTTATTTGTGCTTTTATTTATTAAATTAAATATAAAACTTGCATCTCTATGCTACAAGCATCTCATTCAAACACAGAAAATAAAGGACAAACAATTTAGTTTGATTAGATATAAATCAAAACTCATTTGATAAACAAGTATGTTAAGTTGAAGAATTATTGGAAAGAGGGTGACTTGGAGTTGGAGATGAATTAATGCTTTATTTTGAGAAATAATAATTTTAATGATATGAAATCACAACAAAACCTTCAATAGTAATAATCATTTTAAAGTTTTAAGCATCGGTAGTGACTTTGAGATCATTAATTATTTCACTATGAGAATAAATAACTTTAATTATATAAATGATAAAAAAATTCTAATAATATAAAGTAGTGACTAGTTCATTACTGAAGGCTTTATTATCACTTCATATAATTAAAGTTATTACTTTTTAAGGTGAAGTAGTCATTAATTTATAAGTCGCTCTGTTGGGGAACATTTCACCGTAGGGGGAGGTACTCGTGCAATGGTGAACAAAGCGGAAACAGGTATGTTGGCTTGACTACCGTAAACATTGGTAAGAATCCAATACCGGAAGAACCTAAAGTCCCGTTTAGTAGGAAACATTAAAAATTAGAAATAGGAATTACGATTGGCATTAAAAAAATCTATTAAAAAAATATTTTTTTATAAGAAATTATTTGTTACATGGAATTAGAGAAATCCATAAAAGTGAGACTGGAGAATACTACTTCTCATATATATGGGTTTGGCTAACCTATGTAACAAGTAATTATTAATACTAAATATTATTTTAATATTTTTATAATTATAATTCTAATCTTTATCTCTTATTTTTAATACTTTGGACGAATCAGGACTTAAGAGTTCCTCCGCAAGGTTTGTCCACGGTGGGCGAGTCAAGACCTATGATCAAGTCGAAAAACGGGCGTGTTGATTGCGCTTGATTAGGCGATGAGGACCGAGATGATCGTTCGCTAAAAAAGGCCTTGTCTCGAGTTGCCAGACTCACAAAGCGTTTCTTTGACACTTGTTTCTAACGCCATTTCATATAATTAAAGCTGTTATTTCTCAAAATGCAATAGTGGTTGATTTTTAAGTCGCCGCTGACTCATAAAACTTTAAAATAGCAGTTGTTACTACTATTTTCTAAAGTGAGGTAGTCATTCATTCACAGGTTATCTACTTATCCTTTTTTCAATAAATTTTTTATTTTTGGAGCTTTAGCTGTTTATTGTTAACGAATGGTGGAAAATTTTTTTTAAATGAAAGAATATGAGTAATATGATATTTTGCAATAAAAATTTAAGAAAAATTAATAAAAATAACTGTTGAATTTTAAAATTTCAGTATTAATTATTACACTTGTAAAGAGAATTATATTCGAAAATAAATAAAAACACACTTTTATAGTAATTTTAGATTTAAAATTTTAAAATTTATCCATTATTTTTTTTGGAGATCCTTTCAAATCTTTATGCTAAAGAAGTCAGAAAAACTACAAGGAAATTAGGCCATTTGATAATCCTACGACATGATATGGATATTTCAGAGGTGTTAGGTTCTAAACAACTTAATTTCGTCCTGACATGAGTTGTATATGCCTCCGCCGAATATAGGCCGCCCCTCCTGCATTGAATGGATCAGGTACAGGTGAATTAATTGCAGTCAAACTCCATTTATTATAGGCACAATTAGATGTGGACCCCACATGAATTAACATGGCTCGTCTAATTAAATAACGCAGTTACATTCTTTCAGTCAGTAGGGAGGATGGATTATTCTGTAATAATAATAGAACAGAGGGCTTGACTGCTAGTTACTGTCTTCCAATAGAATAATACTCCCTCCGTTTCTTATTATAAGAGACGAATAACCGAATTACGTTGATCAAAAAAGCAGTTAAAATTAGTTAAGAACAATCAATGTGTAAAAAATATAATTTCTTTTCCAAAAATGCCCTCATTAATAAGGAGAGAGAGTATGAGAGAGAATAATTAAATTATTGAAAGAAAGAGAAGGGGAATGGAGAGAGAGTGTGAGTTGAAGACAATAAATATGGATAAAATAGGAAATCAACACAAAAAAGTAGAGACAACTTTTAAGTGTCTCTTATATATAGGAACATGCCATAAGCATCAAATGTCTCTTATAATAAGGAACGGAGGGAGTAATAATTACGAGCAATGTTGAAATAAGGAAAAAAATAATCATATTGTAACCGGAAAAAAAAATCATATTTGTGACATTATGACTAATACAATATTTGGTTCCTTAAGTTTTCATAAATTTTGATTTCAGTTCTTCAAGTTTTAAATTATGAGTTTTGATTAACAAAATGGTCCAGTTATTCATTAACTTGTAGGGACCAATATTTTAGGCGGAAAAAAACTTAAGAGATTAAAACCTATAATTTAAAACTTCATGAACCAAAATCAAAATGAAGGCAAATTTAAGAGACCAAAAATTATTAGTAAACTTCAAATACAAAATCCACATAGCTAGGATTGGGCAAAGGCAGTGTCAAAATGAGAGCCAAAACAAAACTCCACATCTCACGTGATTACTTTGTTAATCTTGATTATTGACTTGCCACCTCTTCCCCAGTGTTTGGGTATTTAAGCTCACTAATGCATTCTTCTATGGTCAAGCCTACAGTTTTGGTACAATTTCTACGGAAAAAAAAGTGCATAGTTCCATTTATTGAATCACCAATATCAATGCATTTATAAAAATGTCAAAGGATTTTTTTTATCCTTAAACTACTCTCACGAGAATGCTGGTATTCTAAACCATCAAAGGGTGAACTGTTACCTTCAAACTTAACAGAGTGGTGCATTGTACCCCATACCATTAAATGATAGTAGATAACATTATGAGTAACTTTCACAAAGGATCTATTCTAGTTGCCATCAATCAAGTTACTAGCTTGACCTTTTAAGGGTTATTTGAAACTGCTTATATCAAGTGCTTATAAGTATATTCTCACAAATTGAAATAAAACTCTCCTCATACATAGTTATTTGGTATTTTGTAAATCACAATAAAGAAATAAAACTCTCCTCACACAGGTATTTTGTAAATCGCAATGAAAAAATATTTTTAAAGGACCCTATCACTATTCCAAACTAGCATTAGATTTTATTCTTCATGTCAGCTGCAAGGAACTTGCTTTTAATTTTAAAGGTTAAGAGGAACAGTTTTCTCCTTGCTTTTTTTTTTTTTGGCTAATGTCTAAATTTCAATTCAAATACGCTATGTATAAAAGATAAATTTAATCATCCGATATTACATTGCGATAAAGGTCAAAAATAAATAATATTGGGAGAGAAACATCAAATTTTTAACCAGTCCCTATGGAGTCCATGTAACATTGGTCATCTGCTAATAAAGGTTGAGTCCTTTCTTAGAGGGTGCCAAAGTAATTTTTGTACCTCTGAGCCAACCCAAACGTGCCCAAAGTGCCTCCAGTGTGAAGCATCACCACCTCTGGTCCTCCTTTAGCTTCTTCGTTACACAGACGCGTAGCCATTTCCCAAGCAGCCAGAGTGTACACAGGATCCACCAGAATCCCAGTTTGTCGCGCAACTTGCTGGCATGTTTGCATTTCCCCTTCCAAAACCTTTCCAAACCTAGAATTTGCAAGTGTTTGTACATAATAAACCTTAAATCGATACAAACTTACCAAAAAAGGAAGTGCCACAACAACTGTTTAAGTGGGAAGTGTTCTTGGCCCCAGAATCTATTTCCTCTGCGATAATTAAAGTAATTGTATAATATGGAATTACTAACCCTTTTCTCTTGTTTTTATTTTGGGTCTATCGTGAAATAAACTAAACTCTGCAGCGCATTCTCCTATGCTCTATGGATACTGTTGTAATCCCCCTAATGATTTAAGTCTACAAAATAGGAATCCCTTCTGAGACGACAGTGTTTCTCTCGGCCTTTGCTTTCTCTCCTAAGATATATCAACTATGCATTGCACAGAGCCCCATAGAACAAGTCCTACTTATAAACAGTGCGAAACAGTGTGATTTCCTATAAATTTAGTAGGCACACAGATAGATTCAACAAAGAAATGAATAATGAAGAGCAGTTAATGTAAAGAACGAACCTTGGTACAAAATCACATTATTGGGCGCGACTCTTTCTGAATACATAACTACATCATTATTAGGATATTAACTTCTTGGTAACTCTTTAGTAGTGAATGTTTACTCCCTTAATTCCTCAGTTTCAACAATTTCACTTTCATGGATATTGATTTTGACCCATGGCCTCCGTAAAAAATTTATGAACAACCACCATAACTGCTCAAATTAACTGTTTAGTGGTGGATTTCTGTTAACGACAGCATATTAACATTTCACTGATCGAATTAAAGAATCTGCAATTTAATGTGTAGCACTCTCAGGCAAAAGGAGCCGAGGAGAATTGATGCAAGGTTAAATCGCCATACAGAATGACCTTTTGAAACGCCTTCATCATTGCTGTCCTTATAGCAAATTTTCTATTTAAGATGCTTTTGCTAACTAGTATGCATCGAAGACCCTATTAAGACGGTACTTGGCAGAAACGCTAGACAAAAACCACCACCGTTAAGATAATAGTAGATAAGTCTATCACACTTACTTTCTTGGACGGAATCGTTCCACCCAATGCACAATTCTGGCATCCTCTTTGTTCGCACTGTGGTCAATAAACTGAACATTAAAATGCTTCTTAAATTCAGAAACTAATCGTTCTTGCTTTTCTCTGTATGCATCAATTGTGTCAGCCAGCATGACTGCATAGACCTCCCATGGGAATCTGCATGGAAGCAAAAACAGAGATTGCAACGAATCAATATTGTAAAATTATTCAAAAATATTCTCTTCAAATAAAATGGCAAGCTATATAAACCAAAACACACCCCAAGCATCGAGCTGCGAGTCCTAAACCAATAGCTGTTGTCCCAGTACCAGCATCCACAACAAATCTTAAGGCCCTTCTTCCAAATAAATGATTCTCTGACAAGTATTGCGCTAACCGAATAACACCTTCACAAGGAAAGAACAAGTTATTGGTTTATTGCAATAGCCATCAAATTTTATCAAACTTTGGCAAGAGTAACACCACAAAAGCATGAATTCCAATTCCAACGATACAAGATATATAATAATATAATGCCCTTAATGAGGTAAGTATATGAAAATGTGAGTTGTTTACCACGGCCACTACAATTCTCCATGATACTACTCATCAATAACAGGCATTAATTGTTGACAAGTGTGGTCAACAACTGAACCATGTGAATGTACATATTCAAATCTACTTGACTTTCTCCAATAGCCATTCATATTTATTGAGTACATTACTTTACGAGATACTCTTAAATTATAGTCTTTTCCTTAGTTTTGAAAAAATTACACTTTCGTCTTTTGACATTAAAAAAGTGCAGCGCATTGACCTCTTCTGCAATAACAACTAAGCCAAATTTGACAAAAATAGCAAACACCCTTATACTTATCACTTCTACAATCTATAAATAATATAAAAGTTGTGTACTAAGACACAGCTTCTAACCAGTTCATGGGACCCACTTTTTTCACCTGCTTCTTTTGCTATTTTTACAAATTCACTATGTCTTTTTAGGGTCCCCGTGCATTTACACCAGGCTTCCCTCTGGTTAAATATGTATCTGACCATAATAGAGGAGAAAATTGAGTAATGTAGGCATCTCTTAGGGAAGGGAATAGTAATTTACCCTATTTACAAATATGACCAACATAATATTTAAAAAAAAAAAGGGTCATCAAGGCATATACATAGAGTTACTGTGGAACTGGAATCAGGCTTAATGCAGGCTCTATCTGAGTCTTTACCTAACCAAAAAAGAAAATGGTCTGAAAATACGCATGCCTACTTGGAGACTGTTTCATTCAACAAAAACGGCTCTCATCATTACCTAGTAGAGCTACAGATTCAGCTGCACCTTCATTGATTATTAAAATCGTTTTTGGATGGTTTCTAGCATATCTACTAGCATCAATTTCTGCTAATGTTGGAGAAGTAGACAAGCCAATGGTTGAGGCTTCAACAATATCATTTAACCATACAATAGAATCGTTGTCACCAGCCACCAACTTGGCATGGTTCTTCAGCATCTCTTCACGGTTGGCATAAATAGATCTTGGAACATATGTCACATTTCCATATATTGTGGACATCAAGTTATAGCCAGTCAAGATATCAGGTTGCTCCCCTCGCAGAAGCAAATGTGATTTGATTCCTCTCTCGGCACAAAGAGCAGCTGCAACAAGATACGCAAATCATGATTTGGGATTATCCTTGTAGTGTTAATTTCATCCAAAATTTAAATTTCATGTAATTCTAAAAATTCAGTAAAATTTTATGCCATAGCCATACAAATACCTACCAACAGCAGCTGTATGAGCACTGTGACAGCCTCCACATGTGACCTAGAAAATGTGTTAGTTGAGTAGTTGATCTTGGACTGGCCAGAAGAGGGTTGGATCTTGGAGTTCCCCATGATTAAGAACTTCCAAGGCTAGAATTATTTGTTCATCGAGTAATTTCCCAAACAGATTGGGAATTTGAACACTCAGCACGACACTCAAGTTAATACCCAATCTAACTTCACCAAAGAAATATCTGATTTATCTATTCACTAGTTAATCATTTGATTCAATATTGTATAGAATATTTGTAACAAGACACTCTAGACCACATTTCTATAAGAGATAGAAGAGCCAATCCCATTCTTGATGTTACTCTTTCGAACTCTAAGCAAAAACTACAATATTCAAGAAATCATCAAATATGAGTGATATGATGCAATACATTCAAATATTCAATAAAAGAAGAAAAAGAGTGAAATAACATTTATGTGGAAAAATTCCCTTACAGAAGCAACAAAATGAACTCTACCGCACCAAAAAAGGGTCAAACATAGATCAGAGAAAAGCATTTAAAGATGCATTTACTATTTTGAAGGATAATCTCACCACATCCGTGACGGAAAAATCTTCAAGTAGAGGAAGTACCCCATCTAGTTTTCTTGCTTTATTGCCATTAATTAATGGGTGCAACAAATCATCCCGCACAATATAGAAGTATCGATCTCCTTTATCCATCTCCCTTAAGTCATCATTGAAAGAAGGGTTAGTGCGTAAAAAGACACTACAATCATGGGATTTGTCTCTTTGTATTACTTGGTGAACTTTCGTTTCAGGGCTGAGCAAAGTCCATCTTCTGCAAAGTAATTTTCCCATAAAATCTTCATTGCAGAGCTTCAGTTTCGAAAAGACCTGCTAATGGGTGAAAATATGATTAATAAAACTCTCAGGCAGCTCATCCATCTTGCCAAGGAATTAAATACAGGTGAAATAGATAGAATGAAAAGCTTAATATGTAGTAAAGCAAGCTTCATGACATGCAATGAAAGCAGATATAGAGGCAAGTAACTAAATGCATATGTGGCGATATTGACTTTTACAAAGAACAAACATAACGCAATCAAGGCTAACATTTCGGACAGGACGAGCAGTTAGGGGAGAGATAAGGAGAAGGAGAGTCCATTCCCCCAAGTTATAAACTTTTGCAACCATTGTCCCCTGTGACACTACGAATGGCGTAGGACTCTACTTTTAACAACGCTTCGGAGAGTTTTTCTTACCTTTTACCAGTACATTTTTCAGCTAGACTAGACCTTTTACGAGGTACTAAAGAAAGTTAATTGAATGGACTTCTAAAGCAACTAGGTAGATTGAGATTGAGAGTTTAAGGAACCCAAAAAAGCAAGGTTGAGTAGGCCTAGTTGAATTTCCAGCCATACTCGTTTCGCAATGCCCTGATCTTACTTCTCGTTGGGAAATTTCACTAAACAACAAACCAAAGAGCATGGGTTTTATCTCACATCCAAATGTGGGAAACACGATTCACATTACCTGAAGATTGCTGGAATAAATTCCGCTTCTCATAGCCACGGCGAAGCTCTGTATCTGTCTTGCCTTTGAAACTTCATATTCCAACCCCGCCGGGCCGCCAACACCACGATGATACTCGAAGCAATTTCGGGTGAGGGAAATCGAATTCGAAAACCGAATACGCACCATAATATTTACTCTAATATTATTGTTAAATAGGAAAACCATATTGGAGGTACTTATTTTTTTTTTTAATTTTTAATTTGGTACCTATGTGTTTTTTTGTTCTTAACTAAATCTTTAATTTTGTTCTATTAACATCATTAATCCTTATGTAGGGACTAAAAATATCAATAGAACAAAGTTATAAGAGCTAATGTTGCTAAAAAGATAAAATTAAATGTTTAATTAAAATGAAAAAACATATAGGTACCAAATTAAAAATTAAGAGAAAGTATAGGTACCTTCAATATGGTTTTCTCTTTTAAATATAATCAAATAAACCCCACTCATTTAACCCGCGGGTCAACTCACCGTCACATGAAAATTACCATAATACTGTTTTGGTTCTTAATATAAGACCTAATTGTTAAATTAATTTTAATCCTAAATATAAGACCTATTTCTTATATTTATCAATTTTTTTCTAACTTATTCATATAAATACTTCTTCAACCATAATTAAGTAAGTGAGAGAGAAAATATATTAAGAAAGTTGATTACAGTGTTTTAGAAAAAATATGTCATATTTGTTATAATTAACTAACTTCCTTTATCTAATCAAATTAGTCGAAAAAGTCTTATATTAAGAACTGAAGGAGTAGTACAATTGGATATTTAATATAAAAGCTAATTTAACATTCAATTTAATTCTAAATATAAAACTCTAATCCACTTTATCTTTCTTATTTATTTTTTTTAAAGTAGACTTGTAGTAATTACACATGCAAAATGTTTAATTAAATGGTAATTCTAGTTAATATATATAATTAGTCAGAGCATTTTAGAAAATACAACACATATTTATTACAAATAACTATCTTAATTAATTTTTTTTAATTTATTCAAATTAGTCAACTAACTTTTACATTGAGAACTGAAAGTAGTAATATTTTAATGGGCAATTTTGCTCTGAAAGCTTTTAGCTAGTAACGCTTTAAATTTTTTTTGTTCAGCATGGTTTTGGAACTTTCAAAAAGTAGCAATGTTGCCTCCATCCTATTAAAAAATTAATGTTAATTATTACTCCTCCGGTCCTTAATATAAGACCCAATTTTTGAGTTGGTTTTGGTCCTAAATATAAGACCCATTTATCATATTTATCAATTTTCTCTAAATTACCCCTATAGATACTCCCTCAACCATAATTAAATAGAAGAGGGAGAGGAGGTATTAAGAAAGATGATTATGGTGTTTTAGGAAAAATATATCACTTTTCTTATAATTAACTAACTTACCTAACTTCCTTAATCTAATCAAATTAGTTAAATGGGTCTTATATTAAGGACCGGAGGAGTAATATTTTTAATATTAGTAAAAGGTCAATACCAAAAAAAAAAGTGTTTTCTGGTGGTTCCAAATAACCGCTATTAAATTATACATTTGTAGTGGTTATACAAAAACCGTTATTAACATGCAATGGTTTGATTGTAAGGATAGTGTTAGAAGCGGTTTTTTGTGCATTAATAGTGATTTTTTTAATACCGCAACAAAATTATGGTGCGTAAGTTTCTCTCTACGGGAACAATTGTAGAGAAATTTTACATAGGGTCCAAAAAAAAAACGACTAAAACGCAGATGACACACATTTTTTGTGGCTCCGAGTAAACTGCTACAAATTTCCAAAACTTTTGCAACAATTTTGTTTGAACCGCTGTAAACGTAATACATTTGTAGCAGTTTTCTTATAACCACCGCAAATTTAAAAAATATTTGTAGTGGTTTTGTCAGAACCACTGCAATTACAACGGTTTTATGAAAGCCGCTACAAATGCAGCGTTGAGTTAATCAAAATATCAGTTAATAAAATATTATATTTGCAGCAGTTTTGCCAAGAACCACTGCAAATGAAAATAACTTGCAATGATTTTATGAAAAAACCACTGCAAATGTCTTTTATTTGTAGTGGTTTTTTGAACCGCTACTCAAATTTTTGCTAATGTCATGTATTTATTATAAACACCCCCTCTCTTACTTCCTATTTGTTCTTTCCCCTTCTCATTCTTCTTTCCCATCTTTCCTTATTTCTTCCTCTCTTTTGCTGCGTTAGTTTGTTAGAGGTTAAAAAATGGAAAATTTATTATTTAATTTTATTTCTTATTTACATTTATTAGGATACTTATATATTCTTTTAATTTTTTATTTCTATTGTGGATTCTTATCACAAGACAAATATTCATCCTTCTATCTTCTAAAAATTTATTACCCAATTATAGATATATATTTAAAAATTATTTCTCACATATTTAAATAGTTTTTATGAAAAACATATTTAAATAAATAAATAAATCAAAATATAAAATTACATATATAAGTAACAAAATAGATAAATAACAAATAATAATTTAATAATAATGTTTTAAAAAAAATATGTGCATTTGCAGTGGTTTTAGGAATCGTTACAAATGCCGTTCTAAAGAACCGCTACAAATTGAGTACTTTATTGTCATCTTTGACTAAAATTTGTAGTAGTTTGTAGTGATTCTGACAACTGCTGCAAAATTTTGTAGCAGGTTTGACTATATTTGCAGCGGTTCTCAAAATTGCTACAAATGCATTTTTAACGGTTAAAAACGCTGCAAATGTGCAAAAATAACGGTTGCAACACACCTTTTTTTTTTTGGTAGTGGGCAATGTTATTCTATTTTAACACTTCTATCTATTCTAACATTTAACACTTCTAGGAAATCTTGAACCCACACTTTTAGAGCAACATTGCTTTAGGTGAAAACTTTTAAAATTTGTAGCAGTTTCTGACATGTATTTGTAACGATTCGGACAACCGCTGCAAAATTTTGCAGCAGGTTTAACCATATTTGCAGTGGTTTTTTATAACAATTGCAAAGTACTTTTGTGACACACATTTTAGTAGCGGTTCTCAAAATTGCTACAAACGAACCGCTACAAATACACAAAAATAATCGCTGTAAAACATTTTTTTTTGTAGTGGGTAACGTTATTCTATTTTAATAATTCTATCTATTCTAACGCTTTAACACTTTTAGGAAATCTTGAACCCACTCTTTTAGAGCAACATTGCTTTAGGTGAAAACTTTCAAAACAAATTTATATGTTAACCCAATTTTAAAATTTTAATTAATAGTACATTTGGTCTTTTAATATAAAAGTTAATTGACTAATTTGAGTAGATTAAAAAAATTATTTAATTAGTTATTTGTAATAAATAAGTGTTATCTTTCCTAAAATATCATTGTTAATAATATGTGTTAGCTAAAACTATTATTTGACGAAATATTTAAAATGTGCAACTACTATAAAGATTATCAAGAGAAAACAAAGTATATTAGAAATCTTATATTTAAGACCAAATTTAATGTCAAACTAACTTTTATATTAAAGACGATTAATTATAAATTAATTTCAATTAAGCTATTGACAATACCTATCTTTTATAACTTATTTTTCCCTCCTATATTTGTTCCTCTCAGGGCCTGTTTAAGAAGACTTAAAAAATTTCTTATAAACACATTTCACGTAAATCGAGACAAAGTTTCTCTTACATGTTTCGTATTCCGTAAATCACTATTAAAAAACTACTTATAAACTGTTTCAAATGGGCGCTTGGTCATTTGCGTGTTTTGAGCACTTGTGCTTATGGTTTATTGGTTCTTAATTTTTTTACTCTTCATTTACATTTACATTTTAATTATTATTAATTATATAATTTTTTGTATTTCAGGTGAATGAAGATATAAGAGTGATGATAGAGGGGTGGAATAAGATTGTGATTTGTGAAACAAAAGGTAAGCACATGAAAGACATCTTATCATGATTTATAAAAAAATTCTTATGAACACATATTTGTCGCATATCCAAAATTTTTATTTTTATTCTTTTGGCGCGGACACCGAGTCAACTCCGAAATGCGTCGGTTGATAGAAGCTCAAATGCGTGTAGGGTTTTTCAAGGTTTTTCTCTCTTTCCCTTGGAGGAAAACATTGGCGCAGCACTAACAGGCTCGCTCAATGTCTCATCACGCCACCTCCGGCATAACGCCGGAATCTCTATTGGCGTCGGGTCGGAGTTCGGAGAAGCTAAGCCTGCCGTCACTGCAATCTAAAATGAAGTGTGACCCTGAAGGATACGAGTCTGAGCTAGTCCTTCTCTACAACCAATTCAATTCGTCGTTGGAACTCTTTCAGCAGCAAGCGGCGATGAGTTTCACCTCTATTAGTGGCATTGGTAGCGACTCCTCCGTAGCCAAAGACCTCGGTGACAGGGCTATGTTCTTGGCTCACGTCACTCCCTTCTATCCTACGCATCTTGCTGATTTCCCCAAGAAGCTGGCGGATTTGCTTCACTCTGCCGGAAGCACGCTACTTTCTGGGCTTCGGTGTCACCTGACGCAGGCTCTCATCCTCCTCGTAAATAGACAGGTATGCTATCAATTGGCTTTACGATTTGCATGAGATATTCTGGCCGAAGACTGAAAATTGCTAAACCTTTCATTAATTTAGTTTCTTATCGTCGGATATAACACGACAGACTTATAATTTAAAAATGTAGTGAAGAAATACTTCATTATGTTGTATCGAAAATTTTGTGAATATCTTGTCAAGGCGCTTATTGAGTTCCCCGCCATGTTAACCATTATATTTGCCTATATAATCCCCAAGAAATATGTTTATTGTTGATGTTATTTTACAGTAAATGGAGAACTCTGACGTATTTAAATTTGAAAGGCTGGAACATGCCTCGCTATCAAATATGATTTTTCTTTTGCTTTGTATGTCAGATTGTTGATATTGGGGAAACACTTTCATTGTTCATGGATCTCCAAACCCTTGATGACAGAACGTTAAGAAAGTTGGCGTTTGATCATGTTGTTCATAGCATTAGGCGCATGAATCAAAAACATAAAAATGAAGCCAAGAATCGAGCACTTCAAAATGTCTTGTTTGGGATGCTACAGGTTAGTGAACATTTAGAAGACTTCCTATCATCCGGTTCCTTATATGATTGGATGTCTTGTAACTGTGGATAAATTTTCACATTTTAATAGCAAGAAGATGTAGCAAGGGCTAAGCAAGCACTGATCACTCTATGTGAACTTCACCGGAGGAAAACATGGTTTGATGATAGAACTGCAAATGCCATCTGTACAGCTTCCTTTCATCCATCGTCAAGGTATCCATTTTACTAGGCGACTTTTTTGTAATTTTATATCTGTCATGGAATTCATGTTTTAATATCTGTATTTCTCAGGATCATGATAGCTGCTTTGTCATTTCTTTTGGATTATGAGAAGATTGAAAATGATGAAGACAGTGATGATTCTAGCAGTGAAGATGAATCATCTGCACAACCTCAAGTTCTCCTCAGTAAGGAGGCAATTTACAAGGTCAGGTGTGCACTTAAGGAATAGATTAACCACTGAATTACTGATTGATAATTTTATGTAAGTGGATAGCAGATATTGTTGCCAAACTAACTACACTCGTCCATGTGCGCATGCAGAACATACTTCATATAAATTGATGTGAAAGATCAAAGATCCTACAATTTTAATTTTGCCTTTTCTTATTTCTTTTGTGCGTTGTGAAAATTGTCTTGGAGCAGGACAATCTACTCGAAGCTTGCATTTGAGTTGCCTAATTGTTGGTATCTTTATGAAAAAATTCAGGCACACCACAAAGGTACAGTAGCTAGCAAGAAAAAGAAGAAAGCTAAACTGCAGCGTGCCATGCGAAGCTTGAAAAGACAGCAACGCATGTCCTCTGGAAACAAGAATACCACTAATTATTCACCACTTAATCACCTGAAAGATGCACAGGTTTGCCCATTTTATTATCACCATTATTAATCCCTTCTGCATTTGGATTTTGTTCCACTGGATCAAGGACATCACTGTCACATGTGGCATGCAGGGTTTTGCTGAGAAGTTGTTCTCTCGCCTTCAAAACTGTAATGAACGATTTGAGGTGCATCCTCTAACTATAATTAAACCAACACTCCTCTGTTTTTATGATAAGGACACTTGATCCCCCCCCCCTCCCACAACCCCAAAAAAAAAAAAAAACTTGTCTTCTGAATTATTCGTAAAGATTCCACTTCCAATGATTTCTACTATTTACTTTTATGATTTCAGGTTAGGATGATGATGTTGAAAGTGATTACTCGAACAGTTGGACTTCACCGATTGATTTTACTTAATTTATATCCTTTTCTTCAGAAATATGTTCAGGTACCATATATGATAAATCCGTTTTAAGTTGATAATTTATCCATCCCTGAAATGTGACTAAATCTGCATTTTGCAACCAGCCACATCAACGAGATGTCACAAATTTGCTTGCAGCAGCAGTACAGGCTTGCCATGATATGGTATACTATAATTTTTTTAATCATTATGAAATTATTGTTGTAAATTTTAATTAATAATTTTGCTCATCAGCTGCTGACTCTCCTTATTCCTCTTCCTCTGTTTTCTTTCATCTTTGTCATTCTGTCTTTCACTGAAGCTGTTGTGTTGTAAGCAGGTTCCTCCAGATGCAGTCGAGCCCTTGTTTAAACAGATAGTAAATCAGTTTGTGCATGACCGCTCACGTCCAGAGGTATTCTTGGTCCTCTTAACTGTATAATTCACTATATAATTCATTGTCATGAGACGGGTGCCTTACTTGGCTCGATGTTGCTAGGCTATTACTGTTGGATTAAATGTGGTGAGGGAGCTATGCATGCGCATGCCCTTGGTGAGTATCCCAATCTCTTGTTTCAGATATGTTCTCTTTCTGCTGTTTCAATTTTTTAATGATATCCCGGGTGCTGCTTTTAAATTTCTTAATTTTTTCTTCTGTTCTACACAATGGTATCAAAGTTAACCTTTTGCTTTTTGAATCTAGCTTATGACGGAGGAGTTGCTACAAGATCTTGCACTATATAAGAAGTCACATGATAAGTCAGTTTCAATTGCCTCCCGATCTCTGATTGCTTTATTCAGAGAGGTACTGCTACTTGGTTGTTTGGGCTTGGGCTAGTGCATGCACTTGCTTTTTGGCCATTCAATCTTTTAATATTGTTCTTTTGCAGGTTTGTCCTTCACTACTTATAAAGAAGGACCGTGGGCGGCCTATTGACCCTAAGGCAAGACCAAAAGCCTATGGAGAAGTTAGTGTTGCAGCTGATGTTCCTGGTCTTGAGTTGCTACAGACTCTTGACAGTGACAATGACCAGGAGGACGATGATGCAGATGACTCTATACTTAGTGGCTTTGGCAGTGATGGAGAAAATGGTAATGAAGAGAACCAAGTGACTGGTGATGATGTTGGAAGTGAGGATGATGTTGCAGATGGTAGTGATGTTGGATCAGAAAATGTCGATAATGAAACTGAAGATGAAGAGGACAATCTCGAAGACAATGAAAAGGTTGATGAAGATGATGGTGAGGGTATGGAACATGATGATAGTGATCTAAATATATCTAGTGATGCTGAACTATATGCATCTGGTGATGACGATTCTCTTAGATATGGTGGTGATGACGATTCTCATACATCTGGTGATGATGAGAGCGTTGATATAAAGAGTAAGAGTAATCAACCCTCGGACAAAAAAAGGAAGTTTACTGATTCTGGTGAACAACTCAATGTTGGTGATGCAAGTCTTCGAGCTCTGAAGAAATTAGCCAAAACAGATGGAATACTTTCTAATGAGGACTTCCAAAGGATCAAGGAGCTAAAGGTTTGTGTTTTTCTTTTTTTAACTATCAATTGCTCAGACAGTGGAATTCCTAACTTAAATATCATTTACACTATTTTCTATTATTTTGTTGGTTATCCACAGACAAAGAAGGAAGCTAAAAGTGCATTGGCTCAGCATGGGTTAGCAAAGTCTGCAGCGGTAAAGGTTGCAAGCTCTGATCAACTTAGTCGGAAACCTATGGATCCTGCCAGGCTTGAAGTAAGTAGTTCTGTCTTGTTCAGACTTCAAATTTTTTTTGCAGATGATCTCTAGCTGCAGGGCAAGCTGGAAAGAAAATGCAGTATTTTGGTTCAATAAGTTTGATGTCCGTTTCAATTTAATTGCCCTTTTAAATTTATGCCAATCAATTTGTTATGTGGTTTACATTATTTTTCAAAACCTGGATAATTCCTTAGGAGAATTGTTCACGAAGAAATGGGAGATTAATTTTTCTTTTCTTAGCTACTCCTGCATGGAGTTTGTTGCCAGATATAAATAACGGTCTATCAATTTTCAAGAGATTGATGGTTTTATTTGTTCTTGCTTCTTTGAGCATCAACATGGCTTCTGATGAGTTTCCCCTTAATGTTGTTTTGGCTGAATCCCTTTCTCATTGTTGCTTTAGGGTATTCATGCTAAACTCACGGAAAATAATGAGAACACTCTAGTATTTTAGTCAAAATTTTAGGACTAATTCGAAATACATTGTTTCTTCTCATTGCTATAGTATTTGTGAGGAGATATTATTTCTAGATCGGGTTCTGAAAAGGTGTTTCCCTTTATGTTCTATATTACATTTATTCTAACCACTCACATTCATCTTCTAGGTTCACGTGAGGAAAAAACTAAGCAAAGATGAAAGATTGGCATTGATTAGAGCAGGGAGGGAGGATAGAGGAAAATACATGGCTCGAGCAGCTGTCAAACAGAAAAAGGTATGTTGTTTTTTCACGCAATTCCTTCGGGGTCCTATTTTTGACTGTTGCTGTTTCCTTCTGGAGTTTCTGTGATTCACGTTTAATAGTCTTTGTAGCATGATCTTGTTAACTCTACTGCCGCCAAAAAAAAAAAAGGTTTTAGATCCTAGGCTCCAATGCTAAGGGTGACCAATATTTTATGTAAGAGGAAGCAACGATATAACCAAACCTCAATCATTTTGCGGTCTCATGGAGCTGCATTTATAAACTGATGCAGTCTTCTCTGGGGATGAGGGCAATGAAAAACAATCTATGGTGGAAATATTCATCTCGTGATAATTTCTAGCATAGAAAAGATTCTTTTTATTGAAAAAGATTTTCTTTGCATTAAAAAATGTCCAACAAAATATTCTCATTCATTTAAGCATTCAATTGGTTTGGAGTTACGTTACATAAGAAAGTTAACAAAATAGTTAAAAAGATGTTAAACTCTGCTTTTTATGTACATTTAAAATCTATATATCTATATAGTTGGCCAAAAGAAGTCTAGATATCTATATCTACACATAATATAAAATCTATAGTTTGTCTAAGTAATCACAAGCCATGAACAATGTAGTTCATCTCATCCTCGGTGTAAAGCATGGGTCCACAATCTAGTTTAAATTTGTATTTAATTTGTACATTTTCCATTTGAATAACCCCTTGAAGCCATACAAATTAATAAGAATTTTTTAAGGAAATGAACATTGAGTAACCTTTGCGTGCTCGCGATCCACACTTTGTTACCAACTCTTGGCATCTATTCAATGGTCCCTTGTAACCTTGCACATATATGTCTTCTCCCTTTTGCCTTATGTGATAGTTTCTACTTCTTCCTTCTGCCTTTTTATCACAATACCAAATGCCTTGTAATGGTTAGTGATTGACTCATTGACTGGCTTGTAAGGAAAAGTGTTTACTCAAAAGTTTCTTTTGACACATCCTTTGGGAAAATGGTTCGCTTGGGCTTTCTCTGGGTGTCAGCCAGTGGTCTTCTTTTGGGGGATTCTATTTCCAAAGAGATTGGAAAATCTTTGGAGCTGATGATTCTTTTACTTTTATTTTGAAAGGACTTCTTATCTTCATTAAAATATTTTGTCCCAAAAGAAAAGAGGCCTTGCTTGTTAGCTCAAACTAATCCTTGGGATATGATTAAAAACCCCTCAAAGCTGATATACAAACAGAAATTAGGCTTTGTTTATCTCGGTTTTTTTTTTTTTTTTGCAAAAAAAATTCTGATTGAAGGTACTGGGTCCATTTACCCAATTCAAGCACGTTTCTTCTTTGGCCATGGGTAAAAAATATATCCAAGTGCTATTTTCCGCTTTTTAAATTGGGATATGGCTGATTACATATTCTCAACCCTGCATTGGAAGTTTGAAGAACACCTTTAAAGCAACCATTCAGCTTTTCTTTCGTTGGGTATTTGACCTGGATCCGGGCTTGAATGTTGATAGGTTTTGATTTGTTTGTGAAGATTGCACCATTGCACCTCACAACACCATGTGTTGGGCGCTCTCTTATATGACTAATGTAGTCTCCAAAAAAAAGAAAAAGAAAAAGATCTTACTCCCTTAAGAAACCAATAAGAAGCGGGATGAAGAGGTATATTTTAATCTTCATTTCATTCCTGATATGAAAGGGGAAGGTGTAACTGCAATTGAAATATAGTTCACAAGATAGAAGGCTGACCATTGTCACATTGAGGTGACGCATGATTTGGCCTGTGTATAGAACTTAGTTTACAAGTGTTTTAATTATCAGTATTTCTAAATTATTGATATTGATTATTGATTGATTGTGTAGTTTTGGTTCTCCTAGAGAGAAATCATCATGAATGCATTTTAGTTTTGCTTCTTGATGCCTTAGAAGTTAAATGGGATAATTGATTGATTGTTGGTTGGTTTGGACAGACGGGTGGCTTGAGCAATCGCCAGAAAGAGCATAAGAAGAAGATGCCACTGGCGGCAAAGAGAGATAAGGCGGCGAAATCTCGTTTAGAGAAAAAGAAAAAGCACAACCGGTCTGGCAAACAGTTCCGAGGGAGGAAAGCCTGGAAATAGCCGCTCATATGCGCACACTTTATGAGCAATGCAGTTTTGTTTTTCATCTTTTGCAGCCATCTATGTCATTATCATAGGAGCTAAAAAATTCACTTGGGTTCTTTTTTCCTCCTCCTAGTATCAAAAGGAATGTAATGGAATGTAATATAGTGATGATGATAATTGGAATTGGAATATTTTTAATTTTCATATTTAATTTAATCATAATATAGGCCGAAAAAGACTAAATGACCCCCATGCTTTCCTTCCTCCACAATCTTCACTGTCATCTCAAACGCCGTGAGCATTCATTTCCAACCTATTATTTTCGCCTTGCATGGATCTGGTGGGTTCAGCCTTACAGATGAATAATTCCAAGTGTTTCTTATGAGAGTATTATTTTTTCTTACCCTAATATATTTGCAAAAGCAACCAAGGAACCTACGCTTCCCACATTGCATCTTATGAAGCGGGAAAAAGAAAACAGAATGATAAAGTAAACTGATAATTTCAAGGTTAGTTAAAGTTTCACTCATGATTTGGTGAATTTTTTTAACTTACCGTCACAAATAATATCTTCTATCTTGATCATTGAGGATACTTGTATTCTCTTGATCAACCTATCAATATCTCTCCCTCTAGGAATCTTTATCCAGAATCCCTTGCACTTTTTTTTTTTTCCCTCAACCAGAATCTAATAAAACCATTCTCAGATCAAATGTCAAAATTCATATCCTTCTAGAGAAATATGAAAAACCCAATCCTGCTATTGGTTTCATTGATACTAGAACCTACAGAATGATCATGAAACCATATCCTTCCTTATGAAGAATGGATTCCTTTCGATCAATATTTTGTCACTGCAGATTCAAAGTTATTCAAGATTGACTAGATTACATAGAGAAAGATTGGTATCCAATTCTTTTCAAGATGTGTTTTATGGGTTAAAGTTCTTGGAAGTGATGTCCCTAGGAAAGATATTCTCATTGAATTTGATACTTATTATCACACTAAAAATCTCCAGGCATTGCCCAGAGGAATCAGATATAAAATTTTTTTTAGTGCATATACCAAAATTCCTAGTCTATTTGAAATCCAACAAGCACTACCAGGATATGAAAACATTCGGGATCATCTTTTAAGTTTTATGTTGACAGTCATCAACAATTTTCTCATCCATTTCCATTATGGAAAATCAAAAGTTTTTTTTTATAATAAAACTCCCTTTCAAAAAGGATGAAGACATCAATCCCACAAAGGTTTTTCATCCAGGAATGAATCCAGAATACCTCAAACTTGCCAAGGAAGAATGTTCTGCACTTTTCAAACAAGGCCTTATTGAACCAACAAAGTCTGATTGGGCTTGCCAAGTATTCTATGTTGAAAAAAGATATCCAAAGAGAAAAGAAAAGGTTAGTTATTAATTATAAACCCCTCAATATTTTTATCCTAAGATGACAAATTTCCTTTACCAAAGCTTAGTTCACTTAAGTCCATCTTAAAGATGCTAAGATCTTTTCTAAGTTTGATCTTAAGGCGCGTTTTTGGCAATTTGGGTATTCACCTAGAAGATCGCCATAAAACTACTTTTTGTATTCCAAATGCCCAATATCAATAGACTGTTATGCTATTTGGATTCAAGGTTGCCCGATCACTATTCCAAAAGGCCATGACTAGAATCTTTGAACTTATTCTTGATAATCTTCTCATCTATATAGATGACCTTTTGATTTTCTCAAAAGATGAAGATTCCTATAAGCTTTTATTAGCCTAATTTGTGAAAATAATTGAAAAATATGGGATCATCATATTGGCAAAAAAGAAGAAGAAATAGGTGTTAGAAGAATAGTGTTCCTCAGAATGAATTTTGAAGATGGTTAGTATTATCCTAGACCACATATTACAGAAGAACTGCTCAAGTTTCCAGATGAAAATCTTACAATAAAGCAAATTCAATAATTTTTGGGGATTGTCAATTATCTTAGGAATTTTATCTCTCACGTGTTCAATCACACCAGTTAGCTATCCAAGCTTTTGAAAAAGAATCCTTTCGCATGGGGAACATATCAGATTTTAGCTGTCCAAATTTTCAAAAGAATTGTTCAACATTCACCTCCTTTAAAGATTCCTGACAAAGGATTGTGAATCCTACAGACTAATGCCAATGATAATTTTTGGGGAATTGTTTTAATTGAAGAAGTAAGTGGAACAAGATTCTACTGTGGACATGCAAGTGGGCAATTCAAAGAGTCAAAAAAGCATTATCATGCTACTTACAAGGAGATTCTTGCAGTCCAAAGAGGAATTTAGAACTTCAGTTTTCATCTCAGTCTTTATCAATTCAAAGTGGAAATAGACAATATGTTTTTCCCAAAATGCTTAATCCCAAGGGAAAGATCTTACCAGATAGCCAATTACTCTGACAGAAAGATTAGTTTTCTCACTATAAATTAACTATTTATCATATCAAAGGTCACCAGAATACCACTGCAAATTACCTCTCAAGATCTCAGAAAATTTCTCATCCTTCAAAACTCTTATCATTCTCCACACACTTACCTCCTTACATTCTAACCATCTTTGAACCAGAAATGCCTCACAGAATGAAAGCCACCATTTTTCCTCTTGGATCTCGTCTTGAAACCCCAACAGATGTCCAAAACCTCGCCAGAAGTACCATGTTCTACTGGCTGCACCTTCTTTTCATGAACACTAGAATTCACCCATATCTTCAGTATTTTAATCATCAAAGGACCTATACTAGAAGAACTTTATGGTATATTTGGTCCTTCTCAGCCAAATACACCTGTGCTATAGCTTTCTCAACTTTGTCTATCTATCACCATCTGTGTGACTCAAGAAACCAAATTTCTCTCTTGTCACCCTCTTTGAGATGCTTGCTCCTTTTCCTTACTGGAGAGGAAAACTTTACAATATTCTTGATAAATATAATATTTGGCACGCATCATCCTCAAAGCAGAAAAAACTTTCTTGTTTGTTTACTTTTTACAGGTATTATGAAAAAACGTTGATGGAAATCTTTATATAGATAACCATCTAAATCTCTAGATTACTTCCCCCTTATGGCCAAAAGATAAAAAGTTATTAATGGAGAAACTTGGAAAAACATTAACTCTGCTTAATGAACCAGACACAGGAGAAGACTCTGCATGTCTTTCTCTTGGATCTTTTCCTCCAAATCCTCCTAATTCGCCACAAAGGGCTAGTACTTCTTCAACTCTTGAAATTTTTTTAGAGGAATTTCATCATGCGTGCTGTTATACCTCCAATTCCAACAAATACTTTTCCAGCAGAAGGATCTGAGGATCAAGGGAATTCACAAATCCAACTCACTCAACCTGAAGGACTCCATCTCCCTCAACCAAGTTTTCAGTCACAGACTCCATTTTTTGCAGGAGAATCCTAAGATCCTAACCAAGATGATGATGATGAGATTTACTCATAGAGTTTGAAAAATACCAACTCACTAGGAGCCATAGGCCATCTTCACACTACACAACAGGATCTATGATTATGATACTGACAACTCTGACTCAAAAGATGTTATAAACCTATCCCCAAGTCATGAACCCATATGCAAAAGCTTGTGATAAGCATAATCATCAAGGAATCTATTTTGTGTCATGTCAAAAGATAAGAAGGACCAGCTAAGAATATGCTTTATATCATATGTATGCTTTAACTTTATCTTGATTAAAGTGTATTTGTCTTGTTGTAATAATTAAAGTAATTTTGTCTTGTTGTAATGATTAAAAGCATCTTTGCCTTCATGTCATGTCGTAATGATGGTGTCTAGAATCTTTACTTTTATTTTTTGTCATGTTATGACTCAAAGTTTTTATATAAACCACGCTCTGCTATTAGTTAGAGGCAGAAGAGGTTGTAATAACTTTTTTGTATAATATCAATGTGTTTTCCTAATGAATTCTTTCTAAACTTCTATCATCTTCTGAAAGTCTTACTTATAATATCTTTGTTTGTTATTGGAGATTCTGAGTATGCTTTACACTTGCCCCTCTAAGAAGATCCTATATATTAGAAATAGAATTTGATCATGATTCATTAAGGTGTTTTTAGTGATGATTTTATCAGTTATTCTAGATCTGGTATTCAAAGACAAGAGTCCTAACATGGCTCATTGATGAGTTGAGAATGAATGAACTTACTTGGACTAAAGTTTTGGATATCAAACCATGTTAACTTAGTTTGCTAACACTCTAAAGTGGTATCATTGCTATGCATGAGATAGGTTGCTGGATGACAGGGATCACTGGATCTGGCAACAATATACTACCCATGATTTTAAATACAAGAACTAGTTGAATATTCAACTTAATTTTGTCTTGAGGACTATTAAAATTAAGTTGAATATTCAACTTTATTTTAATAGTCCTCATGACATTATACATTAAAAGGTTTTTATTGTAATACAAATGATTAACAAGAGTATTTAAAAAAATAATTTATTATAAATAACTCATTTAACTAATTTTTTTAATATTAACAAATTAATTATCTAGTTCTTAGAAAAACTAAGGGACTTTGAGGGAGCTTTCGGTCTCTCTTATGCTTTAAGTTCGTTGACCCAAATACATAAATGTTTTCAGAGGCTTGTTTAATTCCAGCACAAACCGTCTTAATCAACTGGGCCAAAAAGAAGAGCAAAGGTTAAATATACTAATTAAAAACCAGGTCAAATTTTTCCCCTGAACTCCTATAAGAAGCATTTAATTATAACTTTTTAACAAGATAAACATTAGTAATCTTACATAGGCACAAATGATGAAGTTATCCCCGAATCTCAGCAAAGCTAAATCATAAACGGGCACCAACAACTTGATAGATGTGTCACAGCATAGGTTTTGGAAAGTCAACATGGTTGACTGGAAAGGATCTGTCCACCTCGGAATTCTTGAGCGCATCGAATAACCTGCGGTATCTGAGGATCAGTGCTTCGATGTCTGCGATATTAGGATTTCTCAGACACGGCCATAAAAGACTACAGACAGGTAGGGCCAAGAAACCTTAGTTAATAAATAACTTCAAAAGCTGATTGATGCCAACACCTGCCCAAATTGAGTGGCAGCACACCATATGAAGCAAACGCGTTGAGGGGTATTCATAACTTACAAGCTACTCTCAAATCGCATTTAACAAACAGAAGGGACATCTGAAACTGACTAGAAGAATAAAAACCAATTTCAAAGCACTCTAGGGTAGAGTCTCTTCAGAACAGGAAGGCAAATCACACGACTGCCCAAATATATTAGGAATTCCATCCCAATTCTTTTTCTCTCTAGCTTCCCAATAGCCGCCGACAATTTGTAAGAACCATCCTCGTCTTTTTGGAACCATCTAGGCTGCCACCCTCTTTCCTGCATCCTTCTTGCCTGCATTAGGAAAAGCAAAATCAGTCACAAACAAGTTCCTGACAACAAAATATTTAAGCCCCCCAGTAGAATTCTCTATTGTTGGAGCAAATTGTAACCCGGTGCTTGGCTTAACAAATGGATCAAAAGCCAGGAGCAGCTTTGGTGAAATACCTGTCTCTGCAATTGTTCAAGTCTTAGTTTCTCTGCATTTGCCAATTCGTATTCTCCATTTTCTAGATGCCTTTGATCTGGTCTCAGCCTTGAATCAGTTGGAGGCAACTTCTCGAATAAACCAGGTATTATTTCATTCAATGATATTGCAAAAGGAGAGAGGTTGTATCTTGTCTTGGTAATGTAGGTGTCCCTTTCCCATAATAATACAGCTTCTGTCATTGGATCATATCCTTTAGGCTTTGTGGTTGGATCCCCTAGGACATAGTACATTGCCCCGTCCCACTTCCCAATTAACATTGCCACCTTCTCCCCAGTTCTATTGTCTTGAACAAACCCATGGACCTGATATATACAATTAAAATTCATTTAGGCTTACTAGGAAAAAGAAGAGAAGAGTAACAATCCATTCATGCTAATAATATGGCTATTCAATTTCTTTTAAACGAGCCAGACTTTTTTCCCAAAAGTAGTAAAAGTGTACCAGCTTGACAATAATGCATAACGTGATATTTTGAGCATAAATTATACACCTGATTGATCGGTTGAGGCAATTAGTATATTCAACAATACAGTACTGTTTGATTGGTAGAGTCAATTAATATATTTCAACAGTAGATTTGATTTAACAAGGGAAAAAGGGAAGACACTTGAGCCATGGTCCCATTGGCGGATCTCATAAATAGAGCAGACAACAACCAAAACAATGATGTATAGTACTTCTATAAGTACATAATTTTGAGTTGATTATTTGTTAGTCATTTATACAATAATTAGTCATTATATAACTAGTTAGCTAGATAGTAAAAATTCCAAATACCTGATGTGGATTTCGGTCAATTATAGACTGCTCTTTGAACTTCAGCTTGCAGGAGTAGTTGCCACTGCCTTTGATGCGCATGGTCCCATAGTGATCACAATAAATTTTTCCTAGTATGATATTGTATATTGAAGTGGTGACCTTACTCCATTGAAATGTTTCACCATCTTCAAACTGAAGGGTGAGGACACCCACAGGATCCAGCTGGATAGAACGTCCCCAAAACTTGCCTTTCAAATTGGAATCTGCCCAGAATTTCCATCCTCTTGCCTCACAGTGACAAGCAACAACCATTGGATGATGACTAACCTGCAACGAACTTATTGTTAGGAAAAATTAGCAGTGTATCACACACACACACACACACACACAGGAACATGAGAAGACAACAAAATGACAGGTTAATCCTTGTGGTGTTCAGTTCATCAATCTTGACTCCAACCAATTAACCTTGCATACCCCAAGAAAGTAGAGTAAAAACAGTTACCTTTTCAGAGAAAAATCTAAGTCCTTTATCTGGATAGTCAGCTTCATAAGTCTCCCCAAGTAGAGGATTAAAAGGTTTACACTGTCGACCTTCTGTTGAAGCATACCCAGACACAGCAAAAGCTGCAATATTTAGAATTCTCATCAAATCATTCCCCTGCAAAATGCAAAATGCTGATTCAAGTCATACTTTCAAACAATACCCATCAATTAAAAAATAACATGCAACGGAAAACATAGCATCATCGTCCCTCTCAACTTCAACCTTTGCCAGTAAACTTGATGATACCACATTCCTCGTTGAATTTATAATAGGCACTAGACTTGACAATTTTACTTTAAATTATAGAACCAGCATCTCATAAGATTCATCATCTTGGCTTAAGCCTTTAAAACTGGTTTGTGACATGGCTGTAGAGCCAACTTACTCTGGAGATCATTGGTCCAAGCAATACATAACTAGGTTTTCAGTCAAAAATCTATAGGGACAATATCATTTGCAAGCCTAATGAGATATGATAATGTGCTTCAATGGCACCTTCTATCATTGCAGTCCCTAAGGGAAATTAATTACCAAATACAGCAGAACAAAGCTACATTTTCATTCCAGTAGGCTTTTAGTAGTTATTACACATAATTTAAAAAAAAAAAAAACTAAGTATAAAACTTTTTAAAAGATAAATTAAGAGAATAAATTTGAACAGACATGAGATGACACATCTATCATTTTGTACCTGACACTTTATAGCTAAAAACAAGTTAAGAGGGCATATAATTACAATAATACAGCAAATAGTTTCAAGTCCTCTGTTTGAAGGGGTAGTTTGGCAGACAGAAGTTTTATAATCCTAGATACAATGAAATTATAACTTTTCCTTTCCTCTGTATCTATAAACAGCGTTTGACATTAAAAAAAAAAAAAAAAACTGAAGTATTAAGAGAACAACTTCGAACATACATGAGATGACACATCTATCATTCTGTACCTGACACTTTTGCAGCAACAATGAAGTTTTGTTAAGAGGGCAAGCAATTATAATTAGAAGGGGACGTTTGGCTGACAGAAGTTTTATAATCCTAGATACAAGGAAATTATAACCTTTCTTTTTCCACAGTATCTATAAACAGCATTTGACAGTAGTTACAGAGAGTGAATTAGTAAAATAAGACTATATTTCAGTACCCGAAGGGGGATCAATGCACGGAGACTAATTGAGAAAACTTGGCTAGTCAATTCAAACATAGATTTGACAGGTCTGGCTCCTAGATGAATGAATTATAACAACTAAGACAAATAAACAAGTTAGTTGATGACAAATTGTCAAGCTATATTCAATATTGACATCTTTGAGGGCAGCACTTCCTAAATTTAACCAACTTATTCTCCATCATGACAAAACGAAACTAAATGATCATGCTTTTAACACTTTGTGACAAGAGAAAGCACACACAGGAACTGACCTGCTTTCCCCACTCCAACGCTCTATCAACCAAGTATGAATATTCCAAGTCTTCAAAACACTTTTGTAATGAAGAGAGTGGCTCATTAAAATAAACAGGCAGACAAACTCCAGAAAGATCCTTCCCAATATTGTCTTTGATAATTGACCACAAACCAACAGGTTTCTCTTTCTCTTTTGGTTCTGGTAAATTATCCCTTCTTTTCACATATGGATATTTTACATCTTTAATTCCCTTCTCAGGCCCGTGCAAACCATCAGAAAAGAAAGAATCTCTGTCATATATACAAGAATTTCCCACACCTTCCCTACTTCGGTAGGATGCACTTCTTAAAGCATCTGAAGACAGAAAGTCGTTTGTGTCAAAATATGTTCCATCATCATCATCTGTTTCAACATCCCCTCCGTCCTGGCTTTCATTATCTGCTACAGAATCGGAAGCGCTGCCTTCTGACATGACAGAATAGAAATCTGAGATATAGAAGAAAAAGAATAATTAGATTGACCCCAGACTAAAACAAACCGTTTACTCCAGCAGAGTAAAGGATAATTCATCAAATCCTTAACTATTCCTAAAATATACAAGTACCTAGGTCAATATTCAATTGGATTTTTTTTTACGGGTTTTTTCTGGGATGAAATAAGAGCCCGTTTGGTTCAACTACACGACCTTGTTAAGCTGCAATACAATGCAATGCAGTAAATGGTAATGTAATCTTTATTACCATAAACATGTTTGGTAAGTTATAAAACTTAAAAGAATGATATGTATTATTTAAAATATAAAACACTGTGAAATTATAATTTTGCCCCTCTTGTAGAAAAAAAATCTTTTCTCTTCTTCGTTCAAACATTCCCTTCTTAAATTTTCATAAATTCATCAGATCTGAAAAATCAGTGAAGCTCCTTGGCAAATGCACAACCCTCTTCTGCCCATTCGTCATCTTCTCCCTCCTTAGCCAAAACCAACTTCAACCAACTAAAATCAAAGAAACAAATAATGAACAATAGCAAGAGGGAATGCTGGAGAAGCTGTTGATGGAAAGGAAAGAACCAGCACTGTCTATGATGGTTGTTATGGTGGAAACTGAAAAGAAAGGGCTCCAAAATAAAATCAAAGTGGCTTCTGAATTAAGATACTATCTATGAAACTTGATTAAAACAAGCTGCGAGACTAAATAGAAAAAAATTAGTTAAGATCTAGAAAAAAATTCAATCTAATGTTGCAGTGAAAAGGAATGACAGTGAAGGAGGGCAAGTGCGAGGGAAGGTAGAAGAAGAAGAACGATTGAGATGGGTTCACAAAGGAGTAGTTAAAGACAAACATCATTGGGCTCTATTGGCTTCGATCTGAGATTGGCTTTGCCAATGTCTGATCTGCAGAGGTACTGGATGACGAAGGAGGAAGGTGGCAGCGGTGTGGGTGGAGCACGGGAAGACAACGAGTAAGGGAGGTGGAAGGAAAAATGACGAGGGAAAGTGAATTGGAGGGCAAATGAGACTTTTTCAAATATGCAATAGGATGGTAATGAGTATTCATGTGGGGAGAGGTATGAATGGGTATTACCAAAATTTTGGTAATCTACATTACCATGGTAAATCCTATTACCACACTAAAAAGCAACCAAACATTCATATTTTGGTGATGTAATCCTAATTGCCATTGCATGCCTGTAATGGAATTGAACCAAATGGGTCCTAAGTGCTGTAATAAGTGCTTTAAGATAACCAAGAGCAGTTTGATCTTGAAGAATTTTAACATGCAATTTTCACTTGTATGGAAGCAATATGATCAGGTACTGGACATAATCATCTAAAATGAAATCCAAATTGACATCAGTCCGGTGTACATATTCTGAAGGTAGTTCAAGGCCAAAACAAGATGATAAAGGGAGAGAGCTATAATACTTACCGCTAAACCTTCTATTACCTTGTCCACAATATGACTCACGTTCCTTTGTTTCGTCCACCACAGTAGCTTCCAACTCTATTTTCTCAGTCTACAAGAAGTTTTAAAGAACAAAACTTAAATTCTTGCAGTGAAATAATAAGGAAAAAAAGAAAAGGACCTTAGAGCACGCAAAACTCAGTACTTAAGGTGCTAGCTGAGAATTTAGGCAGCATTAGAAGAAATATAGAAAAACTAGTGTCTGACAAAGGCAGAAACCACATAAAACTAACTCCTTCCCTATTAAAATAATCATATTGCTTGATAAGCATCCTTAAAGTTGAGGCTGGTCAAGTAGATTTACTGCTTGAGGATGAGCTTAGAAGAGAAGATGAATACCTCTAGCTGTTTTAAGGTGTCCAGCAACATCACATGTTTTTGCTGAAGAAATTTCAGCCGGTCTTGAATGTAAGAGACTTCAGAAAGCATAATTGATTCACAGTCTTTAATAATTGCTTCAGATATGCCTTCTTGTGATAATCGAGATCTCAATTTTTCTGTGGAAACTACAATATCTTCTGAGGTAGCAAGATCGCCGCTTGTCAGAGATCTAGGGAAAAGATCTTTTGCAGACTGCAGAGCTTCAATCCACATAGCTCTGTCTTCTCTAGATATACAACGCAAGTGGAGAGTTTTAGTGCCAGTAAATATGGAAAGTCGCTTATCATCAGACTTGCTGGCACGAACTGAAGAAACCTGTGAATGAATTTGTTAAGCTTTAGCTGCCACAGGAAAAGACAAGCATGAAAAGTTGATATCACAAACACACATCCATAGCATCTTTCAGTGCATGGTTTGTCCGATGTACACCATAAGTTCCCAAATATCTTTGCATTTGTCAATTTCACTAGGGACAGACATGATCCAATAACTTTTTAATGGTTAAAAATCATCAGAGATTTACAGAATGTATAAGATGAAAAGCAATAATTTCAAATCCAGAAAATTATTAATCAATTTAAAACATCATGTAGGACCATTCTATAAATTTCAAAAGCATACATTACCAAATTGTGTACTAGAATATAGGACGTATATATTTTCCGATACAGTTCAAATATTATTTAGTTTACATTTTACATACAGAAGCGCTGCAAATATCAGTGCACATACTCGTCAGTTACGGATTATTCATGCACTAGCTTGCATAATTTAGCAGTTAAATTATATATCTGATATCATATGCACGCGACAGAACCTTTCGCCTGAAGAAACTCCAAAAGCAATTCATGCGCTCATTCTCTGACCTAACAGCCGCGGGCTGCCCACCCCATACACCATTCTTGCAATTTTCTAGTTGGTATGGCCCGGCTAAATGCACATAACGTTGTTCATTTTCATTAATAAAAAGAAAAGATGTGTAAATTTAGATCAACTTCAGGAGTTTCAAAAATTTGTAATTGAAACGAACCCAAAAATTGAACAAAATTAAATTAAAAAAAAAAGGAAGAGAGAGACCTGCTGAGGACTTGTTTAGAAAACAACAGAATGAGTATGACTTTCCGTGATACATATTTTATTCAGTTCAAAACATCATCAACACTTTTATAGAGTACCTGTCCTATGTGCTAATAGAAAATGCAGATATCTCAAAGGCATTCCAATTCTTGTTCTCAGATATTATACCAGAAAAGCGGCATCAAAAGCTTGCGATTACAAATTATACACAAGATAAAGATGCTATAAACATAAAACATGCCCGCATGTAAAAACCTCAGAACAAACCTTCAAATGTATCTCACCAAAGGGTTTGCATTGCTTGGTAGCGCCCCCCTGTCGATTTAGATTCCAATTTGCTTTCTTCATGTATTTAGACGACTCCTCACCGATCACCCTGACGCTCCTATCTCTAGCCGGACTCATCCAAATCTTATCAGGACCATGAATCTTGTAATAAGAAAGAACCCCATCTTCAAGCATGAACCACCTGGACCTCCAACCCTTACCATAATTCACCCACTTATACAAAATCCCGGCTACAGTGCCACTGAACACCTTGGAATCTCTAGCTTCATTGAACACCACTACCTCCTCCTCATCGTGATTCGAAGTGAACGACGCTTTGTTGGAATCAGAACCAAGCGACGAATCAATAGCAGAGCTGGGTTTCGAACCATAGTTAACAGTTTTCACAGATGCATCCGCTCCTAACTGACACTGAGCAGGTGATTTAGGCACAACAGGGTTGGCCCGGTCCCGATCGATCGAAACGGGAGCAATGCAGCAAAGAGGATTCATGATCAAGTGAAAAAAAGCAGAAAACAAACCATGAATCACCTGAAACACCAACAAGCAGCTGAAGAACGCGGATCAAGGAAGGATTCAAGGCAAAACGAAGAGGAAGTTTCGAAAATGGCATAAAGGAGAGAAGAGAAGAAGCTATGAAGAAGTGAAACAGAGAGCAAACAGATCCATTTAAGGCAGTGGTCAGTAATTTCAGTATAGACGAGCAGTGTGGGGTGACCTGACCTCCCCCCCTCCCACTCCAAAGCGTAGGTTAAGCAAAGCCATGCCATTAATTATAAGTAATAAGTATAATAACAATACTAATAAATAATAATAATAATGGCATGGTTTTTGGTTTGGGTTTGATTGGCTTCTCCCCTTTCTCTCTCTCTCTGGTTCCCTCTGTGACCAGAGGACATGATTGTGGAAGGAGACAGCTAACGTGCGCACTTTGTGCGCAGGGAAGTGATTTTTCGGGGTAGGGAAGGCCGTGTCGGTTGGGCCGGGCGGGCCATGCCCATTGAGAAAAAATGCCAGGGGTGGTTGAAATGACCACCGCGCCACTGTGGACTGTGCGGCCAGTAGACGACTGGTGAGGGCATTTTGGTAAATGCGGGGGCTTGATAGTGACTGTCAGAGTGGTGCGGACATGGTTTAGCGTTGACTCCGTCCACTGCGGTCCACTAGCTCGTTAGACTAAGCAGCATCACAGGATTTGACGGCCCGTTCACTTTGGTTAACAATGTTGACACTATTTGAATAATAATAATCATAATAGCAAATTGTTGACTCTCCAAATCTTTCAGGTTGAAAGTATATTTTAAATATAACGGGTGAGTCATGAAAGCAAAAGTGAGAATATTTTTATGAATTGGCTAAAGAAATTAACCAATGACATCATATAAGTATAAGAATAACATCAATAAGAAGATGATGAAAATTTGGTAAAAATTGGATCCTGCAGTTTTTTCACTCACAAATACTTGTTGTTGCTAGGTGTATATGAACAAACATTATAAGTAAGCAAAAAAAGACTTGATGAGCAAGAAAGTCAAATTGAGAAGATCAACTGATAATAAGACACATGTGCGAAGTGCTATGACACTTTATTGTAAGAAAAGAAAATAATGTCATTAGTGCCACAACACCAAAGTAGAAGTGTCATTACACCTTATGCAAAGAAAATACACTGCTTCTAATGCCATGGCACTGTGATAGGATTGCCCCAGCATCCTGACGGAACCCAAAACATGAAGTTTCATTTTTATGACATGAAATGATCTAGAAGACCTTATTTTGAGCATTCTGAATGTTGCTTTCAATTAAGGAAACAAAAAGAGTGGAAGGAACACATTTGAGGAGAAAAGAGGAGCTAGGATTTGGTATTTTGAAGACTTGAGAAGCGTTGGTTTTCTTCCTTTTTCCTTTCTCTTTTCATTTGTAATCTGATATGGATCAAAGTACTTATTGTATTTTTGTTTATTTAAGATTATGAGTAGCTAAACTTATTTCTCTAGGATTATTTCGAATCTTTGTATGGATTGAAACTCATTTATTCCTCTCTTTTAACATTCTTGCTGAATCTATCTTGGGCTTAATACTTTTTAGTGATTTGCCACTACTTTAAATGTTTTGTTTATCTTGATTTAAGTTGAGAAAGTTAATTGGGATATAGAATTTAGACAAATTCGTGCTTGACTTGAAATTTAGTAGTTAAAGGGATGGTTTGTTGGTAGAATAAAGATATGTTCACTAACCGGACATTGTCACTTAAGTATATTTAACTTCTTATTACAATTACAAGTTTAAGTATATTTGGTCAAAACCTAGCATATTTTCATCCCTAAGCATGAGCACTTTTTAAAAAAATTATATATTATTATTGTTGTTGTTGTTATTATGCCATCAGTTAGTTATTTGTTCGTATGGGTAATAATTTTTCTGTCCTCTTTCGCCTAATGGGAAAAACCCAGCCAAAAAACTCTCACACAATCATCTTGGACACGTCAACAAACTTTTATGAGCTGGCATTAACGGTTTTAAAAGGGAAGGTTACATTGACTTTGAAAAATCATGTACTACTAGCATGTTATTTTTATGCACATTATGTACTATATATTACTACAAAATCTTTTTAAGGTGGCTGGTAAAAAAAAAAAATCTTTTTAAGGTATCTATAACTCCAAAAATATTTCCGGAGAAAAATGCATTTTTAATGCATAATATATAAATATCAATATAAACTTTTTTATATTAACTTTCAAATTTAATGATATTTTGATAATAAAAGTTTGTTACGATAAAAAATACAATTATTCGCATTTGAATTTGATTGAAATTACGTATCAATTTAGACCCATTATGACTTTGCGTAGACTTTGCGTTCACCTCTTCTGCCGACGTTATGGGATTACCTTGCCAAGCTTCTTGAAAAGAGTTGTTTTACACCTCTAAGTCTCTACGCACCCACCTACGTTGGTTTCAGGTGGAGGCGAATGCGTCAAAATAAAAATATTATTGATAAAATTGCGCCAGTAAAAATATCGAGTACTGAGCGCACCTGAAAATAAGGTAGGGGTAAAATTATACTTTTATCCTACTTTTTATTCAATTTTATTTAATGGTTTGATTATTTGATTAAAAGTGGGAGGATTACGTCAATTTGAAGTTTAGACAATATAATTACGTGAAAGCAATTAAAAAAAAAGCTAAGTAATACTTGATAAAAATAATAATAATTCAGTCCATATCCATAATGATGTATCAATTTCATGGATATTTTTTTTAATTCTAAACCATTTTTTATATGACTATGAGATATCTCATATCATTGCTCATATTTAAATATTAAGAGACTTAGTTGAAAGTAATTTTTAAGTTACATTACAAAAGCTCACGTTTTAATTCTTATGTTTAGCTCCTTTTGTTTTTTTAATTAGCACTGACTCTATTAATTTGTCATGAACCATTTCAATGATTTTTCCCTAAAAATATTAAAATAAATATTCATATTTCTATATTTAAATTCTGAATCATTTATAACTTATAAATAATAAAGTTTTCATAATTAGGACAAATAATACTACCTCCGGTCCTAATTATAAGAGTCAGTTGACTAATTTGAGGAGATTAAAGAAGTAAGTTGAGTTAGTTATTTGTCCTAAATAGGTATTGTCTTTCCTAAAATATCCTTGCTAATCAAATGCATTGACTAGAACTATTATTGTTAGAAGGGCTACTTTGAAAAAAATGTATAAATATAAGAGACAAAGTGGATTGGGGTCTTATATTTATGATTAAAATAAAAGTCAAACATGGTCTTATATTAAGGACCGAAGGTAGTATTATTATTCATAATCATTATATCAGCATACATACTTTCATGACAAAATAAACAGGCTACATGCAAAAATGCAAAAGACAAAATTTAGGTTAAGTTCTTTATGTTCAATCGCCTTATGCCATGTGTCATTTTTTAATATTATCATTTGATACTAAACTTACATTAAAAAAAAATATAGGACACAAGATATGGTATGATTGAATAACTTGATATAATAGTTGTAAACAATTGATCTAAGGATCCGTTTGGTTCAATTCCCACATACTTAGGGATGGTAATGCAATGCGGTGCAATGCGATATTTATTACCATCAATATGTTTGATATGTCATTAAGAAGATTAAGCAAGAAATTTATTTTTATATTTAATCAAACAAAAATAACAACAAAAAGTCTACAATACCCCTCAATATATCTAAAAAAAGAGAAAAAATAATTTATTTCCAGATTCATCATCTCGCAGCGGGGAAGTGATAGTGGCAGTGGCAGCGGCAGCGGCAATGAATGTGATTATAGTTGGAGGGGTGGCGGCGGTAGTGGCGGTTGTGGCAATGGTGACAATAGGGGTGGTTGTAGTAACGATGGCAACATTGTTGAGGGTGGTGAGTAGAATGAGACAATAAAGATAAAAAGCAAATTAAAAATTTTCAACCATGTGATGGGTTGTAATGCATATTCATGGGGTATGAATAGGGATTACCAATTTTTTTATAATCATCATTATCATGATAAAACTTATTATCATATTAAATAGCAACTAAAGACCCTCCTCTTAGTAATGCAATCATGATTACTGTTGTAGGCGTGAAATGAGGTTCAAGTTCAACCGTTGAACCAAATGGACTATAAGTATTGCCCAAATGCAAACTAGCTATTGTGAATATGGCCAAATATTGATGACTTATTCATTTTTCATTCAGCAAATTGCAATAGACTTTTATAATTGTTTATATAAAACTTTGGATGTATTGAGTTTTATAAATTTTTTAATAAAATGATAAATTATATAAAATAGAAAAAACACAGTTAAACTTTTTTGACCTGGAATTAAAGTAGTATGATGGAATCTAAGAAATGGGGAAGAATATTGAGCAAAGTTTTCTTACATGTGATAATATTAACATTGTTTAAGAGTGTGAAAAAATGTTAAAGCAAGTAATCTAATGTAGCACTGCTTAAATAGGAGGCTCAGAAAAAATGGATTAGAATATTATCCGAAAATTTGGAGCTCATCATTATCAAGAAAAATTATAGCAAAACAAGAAAAATTACAAAATTACCCAATTATGAGGCGCATGCCATTCTTTCTTGTGCTGGCTGATCAAACTAAATTCTCATGCGACATCAATATATATGTGATAAAATTAATAATAAAAAATTATGCCATTACAAGTCATAACATATATAAACACAACATTACCACTTGCTGCGGCCATTGTAATTTGCAAAAGAGATATGAAGTTTTGTTCTCACTTCTCACCAAAGAAATAAGAATTTACTTGCCTTAAACTTCATACTCTCTATACTCAACTTTGGTTACTTTTATCAGATTTTGGTAGAAAAAGTTTTTTTTTTTCAGTGTGTCTCGTTCCTCTGATGTTTTTATGATTTGAATTGGATTTCTGAATGTCCCACTAAAATCAATATTAATATAGTAAAATATAAAATGCATAGTAAATGATACGATTAATCATTTATAAAATTATTTTTATTAAGATTTATGTTTCCCTATATTGTTTTCATAGGAATAGGAATATCCTCTCTAATAGAAGGTAAGGGGATTCCTCTCTTCCTAATTTATCTCATACGATATCAATATATATATATGTGATAAAATTAATAATAAAAAATTATACCATTATAAATCATAACATACTATTTCTAGTCTTTAATATAAGAGCTAATTTGACTTTTAATTTGATTCTACATATAATATCCCAATCCACTTTGTCTCTCACATTTATTGATTTTTTTCAAGGTAGTCCTTGGAGTAATTGCACTTG